CCCCTTCCACTCTTCATCTCAAGTTTCATTTTCTAGTGCGGCCTACCAGCCACCCTTTGCTGAAAGAACTCCAGCTACACGCAGCCAATCCTAAAAACTCAGCCACTCACTTTCTCAGCTTCCTGTGGAGTGAGGGTCAGCAACCAGGCCCAGTCCTGGCCCAAGAACCAAGCAGAGAAATGAGGAAGATGTCAGGCAAAACTATGGAGGGGCTCCTGGGGAAGATTTTCCTTCCTAATTAAAGGAAGAGGGGTCCCCGAGAGGAGTCTCTTTGGGCCCAACCCTGATTCTTTCCAGGATTAATGTTTACTCTAAGAGGGTGAGGTCCTCATTTGCTTTACTCAGAGATGCATCAGAAGGGCCAAACAATGACAGTGTCTTGTGAGGACGTGATGGCTGTGGCTATGGCAACCATTTTGTAACCTTGAAGGAAGGACCCAGAGAACTGCAGGCACATGGACTCCAAGTCCTGACCCTGCGGAGCCTCTAAACAAACGCTTCTGATTAAATGTGGTATTTGTACATATTAACTGTGTAGGTCATCATTGGCAGAATTATTCTGTTTTAGCACTGAAGAGTTGGACTCTGCCTGGAGACAGAAGTGTATGTGACATACCTGTACAGTCTGTTGGCAGATGAAAGAGGTGCCGTGGTGGAAGGGAAGGATTATTCCTAGGAAGGAGGGAGCCCTATGAGGGAGGCTTAGCCCTCAGTAGGATTAACGCATGTGCTGATGTTGCTAGGATTGTGTATAGTTTAAAACTCTTGCCGGGTGCGGTGGCTGACACCTGTAATCCCAGCACTTTGGGAGGCCGAGGCAGGAAGGTCACAAGGTTAAGAGATCGAGACCATCCTGGCTAACATGGTGAAACCCGGCTCTACTAAAAATACAAAAATTAGCTTGATGTGGTGGCGCACACCTGCAGTCCCAGCTACTTGGGAGGCTGAGGCTGTAAAATCGCTTGAACCCGGGAGGCGGAGGTTGCGGTGGGCCGAGAACGTGCCACTGCACTCCAGCCTCGCAACAGAGCCAGACTCCATCTCAACAACAACAACAACAACAAAAACTCTTTAGTGGTTAACACTGTGAGCCTCAAAAGTATCCAGACGACAAATCAGTATGGAGCAGAAGTCAGCAGGGGCAACATCAGCTGCTATGGGATGCCAAAACGAGAGGTATATCAAGGGCAGTGTCAAGTTCAAGCCCAGCCACAGACGCCAGAAACAAAGACAAAATGCAGGGACCCAGGTTCCCTGGCCCCAGTGAGAATCACTAGGTGGGAGCCACATCTGAAGCAGCTAAATGCCCAGACAACCTGGAAGGGGAGAGACTTAGAACTCAAACATATTCAAAATATAGAGAAGATCTGACAAAGGCGGAAAGGCGGAGAAGCAGCACACTGCGGAAGATGGAGGGCGGCGTGGCTGATGTTAGGTGCTCTCAGTCCTTTGATAAATTACAAGGTGAGGTCGTGGGCTGGCATGGGAAGGCTGAAATCAGGTTCACGGGTGTGAGGAGGCGTCGGGGGAGTCAATGAAGAGCAGGGAGGCCAATTCTAAGGCTGGCACGAGTGTGTACTAGCAGCACTGATCAAAACACACTTCTTTTTTGTTTGTTTGAGTCTGCTGCCAGGCTGGAGTGCAGTGGCACGATCTCTGCTCACTGAAACCTCTGCCTCCCAGGTTCAAGCGATTCTCCTGCCTCAGTCTCCCGAACGAGTAGCTAGGACTACAGGTGTGTGCTACCATGTCCAGCTAATTTTTTGTATTTTGAGTATCGGCAGGGTTTCACCATGTTGGCCAGGCTGATCTCGAACTCCTGACCTCAAGCAATCCGCCCGCTTCGGCCTCCCAAAGTGTTGGGATTACAGGCGTGAGCCACCGCATCTGGCCAAAACACGCTTCTTCTTGATATAGTCCAACAACTCTGCAGATTTGGAGACAGAGAGGAAGGCGTGGACATCATCCAGGACAAGGCTGGCAACCTGGACAGCATGGAGGGCATGCGCCCCATGAGTTGACAGAGGCCACCAGCTCGGGACAGGGTGGCTCCCCGTCTCCTGCCTGCCCTGGGAGCCTTGTCATGTGCTGTGTTCCCTCTGGGATCATTGACAGCCGGATACGTGACTTGAGAACTCATGTTTTAGTATGTATGTTATGCTGCCATCAGAAAAAAAATTGAAGGCTCAGCAACAAACCAAGTGAGCAAAGAAAATGAGGAAATTCCACTGGGCGCGGTGACTCATGCCTGTAATTCCAGCACTTTGGGAGGCCGAGGCAGGTGGATCATGAGGTCAGGAGTTCAAGACCAGCCTGGCCAACATGGTGAAACCCCTTCTCTACTAAAAATACAAAAATTAGCCGGATGTGGTGGCACGCCTTTGTAATCCCGACTACTGGGGAGGTTGAGGCAGGAGAATGGCTTAGACCTCAGAAGCGGAGGTTGTGGTGAGCTCAGACTGCACCAGTGTACTCCAGTCTGGGTGACAGAGTGAGACTCCATCTCAAAAAAAAAAACAGGAAAGAAAATAATCAGGAAATTCTGAAGGGGGTTCATGGAGACACCAAGAGCAAAGAGGGACTTGGCGGGGGGTGGGGGGTGGGTGGCGGCATCTGTGTGAAGGAAAGAAGCAAGTCCGTGCTCTCCTTCTGGAAGGGCGAGAGATCAGGCCGAAGGGGAACATTTCATATTTTGAATAGATCATATAAATTTAAAATTAGGGGTTTAGTAATTCAACAGATAAGAAAATGGATACTGCAAGTCAATTTAAAGTGTGCTGAAAGTGACTTTCTGAAAAAAACCAAAGAAATAAAGAAGGAAGGAGGGAGGGATGGCGTGACTACAGATTTGTTCCAAATCAGACCCAAATCCCTGGTGAAGACGACAGAAGGTTCAACCCTTTGCATAAATCCCATCTGGAAATCCTCACAGGGCAGCCTCCTCCTTGGGTATAATCTGTTGCCCTTTTATCTAATGAACTTAATGAAACCTCTTTATCTGGCTAAGCTAAACCTCCATCTCACTCTATTCATCAGTGTTCTATTTCTACTTCTCTGTCCACCATATTGAACAGGTCAACGGCCCCTTTATTCAGACATGCTCTGAAAAATCATGCTGAGAAATACAAATTAGAAGGGCAGCTGTCTCTCTTTGTAGATGTTGCCAAGGAGGCCCAAATCGGTCATTAAAATGCTAAAATAGCTGTGAAACTCACCAAAGCACTTACAAAATCACCAAGGTTATATCCATGCAGTGAGGACTAAGCAAGAAAAAGAAAGCAGGAGATGAGGAGAGAAATAAGAGGAACATGCTTCCAGCAGCCTAAGTTCCTCAACGTCCAAAGCTGGGAACGGTGGTCAAACTGAGCGTTGGAATGCCTGGCTGAATATTTTTATCATGCTGCATTCATAGTATTATAAGAGCTGAGCACGCAGATCACTTGAGGTCAGGAGTTTGAGACCAGCCTGGTTAACAGGGCAAAACGCTGTCTCTACTGAAAATACAAAAATTAGCTGGGCATGGTGGGACGTGCCTGTAATCCTAGCTACTCGGGAGGCTGAGGCAGGAGAATCACTCGAACCCCGGAGGTGGAAGTTGCAGTGAGCCGAGATCGTGCCACTGCACTCCAGCCTATGTGATAGAGAGCAAGACTCCATCTCAGAAACCACACACACACACACAACCTCTCTCTGTCTCTCTCAGAAAAATTTGAGCTAAACATCCAGTCACCAAACAGATGCCAAATATTAAAAAGAGCACAAGGTCATCCAGATTTATATTACTGGAGTGCTGGACAGGGCTTGAGAAATCACCCCATCCCATCATCCCATTTCTACAGGGAGAAACTGAGATGAAGTCACCCCTCTTCATTGATTAAAAACATAGCTAAGAAAAGAGTTACTTCATTGATAACAGATATAGCTGATTTATAAATATTCATGACTATATACTGAGATACCAGAAGAAAAAAAAGTTACATGGAAAGTTTCCTTGAAAATCGCTCAGTGCCGTCTGCTCTGAGATAAATGGTAATTTATTGGCAAGTCCTTGGTAAACTCTGCTTTCCAGAAGGCATGAAGGCCTGGTGGGAAGAGGGTATTGGTGAGCTGGGCATCCTAGGAGTCCTTTCTCTTGCTTATTCATGTATTAAAGTGGTTGCCTGCAATTTATAATGGGAAATTAGCCAGCCTTAGGTCACGGCCAATATCTGTTAAGTATAAATTAGAAACACCACAAAATATCCCACGGAGCAGTTGGGAGTTGCTAGGAAACAGGAGGTCAGGCAGCACTCAAAGGCCAGGTTATTCCCATCCCCGGGCCTCTCCAGGCCTCTCCAGGCTGGACTCTGGGTGGTGGGCGCCACAAGTGGATGCAGCCTCCACGCCCAGGCGGGGAGTCCAGGCTTTTGCGCTGGGTGACTCGAGCTGCATCAATGTGTCTGCCCCCCCTGCTCCCATCAGGAAAGGGTCCAACGTGTGACATGCCAGGCTGGCTTCAGGGGCAGCCTGATGCTGCCTGAGAATTCATACAAAAGAGTTTTAAGTTGAAGACTATTCCACAGATTAAGCACAATGTTAAAAAAATAAAAGGGATGCAAAAAAAAGAGAGAGAGAAAGCAAAGAAAGGAGTATATGCTCCTAAATCCAAGCAGCAGCAAACAGAAGGCTGTTCATGAGTGACAGCTGTCTCCTCACTGTCCTTATTAACATATTTCACCCACTTCCTTTAGTGATTCACTGTCTTTTTCGTTTTTTTGTTTGTTTGTTTTTGAGTTGTAGTTGCTCTTGTTGCCAAGGCTGGGGTGCAATGGTGCAATCTCAGGTCACCGTAACCTCCGCCTCCCGGGTTCAAGCAATTCTCCTGCCTCAGCCTTTCAAGTAGCTGGGATTACAGGCATGCGCCACCACGCCCAGCTAATATTGTATTTTTAGTAGAGATGGGGTTTCTCCATGTTGGTCAGGCTGGTCTCGAACCCCCAGCCTCAGGTGATCCACCCACCTTGGTCTCCCAAAGTGCTGGGATTACAGGCATGAGACACCGCGCCCAGCCCCAATTTCTTTACTTAACATCTACCACATCTTTAGACTTAAAGAATGACTTTCAGTGTTCTGACCATACTTCTTCCATGAATTTGTTTTTCCCCATGCCTACCCCAAAATGAACATACGTCCTTCACAAATTCTACCTCGTGATGTACAGCTGAGTTCAGTCAATGGTGCCCACATTCAAATGACTGATCACGAGAAGACATGAACACGTTTCACTGGAAGAGCCACACAGTAAACACCAGAGCTCTCTACCAAGACTCTGATGTCAGGCCGGGCATGGTGGCTCACACCTGTAATCCCAGCACTTTGGGAGGCCAAGGCCGGCGGATCACCTGAGGTCAGGAGTTTGAGACCAGCTGGCCAACATGGTGAAACCCTGCCTCTATTGAAAATACAAAAATTAGCCAGGCATGGTGGTGGGCTCCTGTAATCCCAGCTACTTGTGAGGCTAGGTAGGAGAATCACTTGAACCCAGGAGGTGGAGGCTGCAGTGAGCTGGGACTGCACACTTGCACTCCAGCCTGGGTGATAGCAAGACTCTGTCTCAAAAAAAAAAAAAAAAAGACTCCGATGTCACTTCTTTCTATATTGATGACTATGACTGCTGTTTATCAGCCACCATGGCCATCAGTGGTGACTCGGTGCCAGAGGCTGAGCCAGGAATTTTACAGACTTGCTCACAGTTCTTCTTTGTACCCATCCTACAAAGGGTGACTTCTGTACTCCCTTCCCTGATGGGAGAACAGAAAACTAAAGTGACAGACCAATGACCTGTGGCTGGTAAAAGGCAGGCAGGATCCATGCTAAAACCTCATTTGGTCTACCTCGATGTGTGGCCTCCCAGGACAGCCTCATTCGTCATTTCACTCCAGAAATGTTTAAAGAGTAAGTTGCTTTATCATCTTGTTCACCACAAATTGTCTAAAGGAGAGCCTGCTTTTATTCATTGAGCAAACAGCAACAAATCAACTTGTTCCTTGAGAGGAGAACCCTATGCTGTTAGCCCTGAAATAGGCAGAAAAACACCCAGGTTAATGAATTGTTACAGAGTCACCAGGCCAATGGGGAGAGCTACAGGGCAGAGTCTAAATTCTGTGACTTAAACGACAAAACCGTGGGACCAGGCCACAGTGGTGAATGTGGTTTAAAAATGCTACCACGAGGCCAGGTGCAGTGGTGTGTTCACACCTGTATTCCAGTAATTTGGGAAGCTGAGGCAGGAGGATTCCTTGAGCCCAGGTGTTTGAGACCAGCCTGGGCAATATAGGGAGACCCCATTTCCACCAAAAATAAACAAAATTAGCTAGGTGTGGTAGTGCACACTTGTGGTCCCAGCTACTCAGGACGTAGAGGTGGGTGGACTGCGCCCAGGAGGTCGGGGCTGCAGTGAGCTGAGATCCCACCACTGCACTCTAGCCTGGGCCACAGGGTCTCAAAAACAAGCAAACAAACAAACACCCCAACCCCCAAAATGCCACTAGGACACATTACACACTGCAGACACTGTAAAAAAATCCTCCCAGTCAGGTCGGGCATGGTAGCTCACACCTGAAATCCCAGCACTTTGGGAGGCCGAGGCAGGTGGATCATGAGGTCAGGAGTTTGAGACCAGCCTGGGCAACATGGTGAAACCCCGTCACTATTAAAAATACAAAAGTTAACTGGGTGTGGTGGTGGGTGCCTGTAATCCCAGCTTCTTGGGAGGCTGACGCAGGAGAATTGTTTCAACATGGGAGGCGGAGGTTGCAGTGAGCTGAGATCACGCCACTGCATTCCAGCCTGGGCAACAGGGCAAGACTCTGTCTCAAAAAAAATTTTAAATCCTCCCGGTCCGTCTCCGCATTCAACTCCATCGATGTCCGGGCATTATGCACTATGATCTGAGGCCAGTCTGTGACATAGGTACGGAAACAGAAAAAACTTGGACCAGCTCATCTCTTTACTCTTTCCTACATTTTTGCACCCAACCCTCACTAGAGTTCACTCTCAATTGAGGAGTCTCTCTTCATCCACACCCACAGATCAGGGCACCTTTCCAGGTACTGCTGCTGGTTTCCACTCTGCACAGCACCCAATGAAGCACAATGTAGGTCTCAGATACGGGACTGCACATTTACCAAAATGACCAGAACAAAGAACAAAAAGAAGCCTTTGCATCCAGGCCAGTTGCTACGGGGTCTTTGAATATTCCCAGCCTGCTTTCTCAATCATCTATACTTTGTGGCGACATGCTGGAACAAGAAGAATGGATGTGCTGTGAGCAGGCAAGGTGAGAAGTGGAGAACAAGCGGCAATTGTATTGTAGTTAATTATTTTAATTGAGCATGAGAAGGGAAAGGCTTGAACTCGAAGGAGGTTGGCAGAGCCCCAGAGTTTATGTAAACCAGGAAATGCCTCTCGCACGCCCCAGATAGCAGGAGCAACTGAATAGAAGCGGCCCATCTGCTGATGGAACAACACTGCAAACAATGGCCGCTCTGAGAGACGGTCAGTTTCACAGAGTTTTGCAGCGGTTCTACCTCTTTGTTCCTGCGTGCTCGCAGGCTGTATTAGAAGCCTGGAAATCCCAGTCAAATGATGTCAGGACCAGGTCCAACCTGCCCTTCCACTTCTGCACAGGACCTTATTTCCCTAATTCACAAGGTACCTCTGATTAAAAGCCTCTAAGAGCTGCAACTGTCTGCATTTGCGGTCCAATGTAAACTGACCAGCTCACGCTTTACTGGAAGCGATGCCATGCAGCCAGTGAGTCAAGTGCATAGGCCAACGTTTCAGAGTCAATACCAGGAAAAAAAAAAAAGAAAGAGAAAAAGAAAAAACGTGGTAGGCTAATTTTCCTTCTGCAATTCCTGAAACCACAATTAATATAGTAACAAGCCTTGCATTTGGCCTTAATAATCCAGCGGGATTTGTTTTAGCTCAGCAAAATTTGTCGTAGACCTCTACTTACATGTTATAATAACCATACTTAAACCTCTGCGGTCCCATAAGAGAACACAATCAAAGTATGTCTATAAGATTTCATATTCAAACCATGGTCCTTCGCCAAATGGCTAAAAGCTGAAATCTCAGTTGTTCAAACTTATTATGCATACTCTTATTTCATATTCTTATTTATCTAAAGAGTTATTTTAGAGAACAAATCACTAAATCCGGTCTAAAGCACTGGTTTGCTGGTGATTTTTTCACCATCCTAAATGTGGAGGGTGGGGGAAAGATGTTACTATGTCTTTAACAGAGCCAAACTTGGAGAACATCACAGTAGAATTCCAAAGCTAAACAGTATTCCCTTTTAAGTGAAATACTGACAAATGAAGCATCTGGCACCCTTTAATGAGCTGTTTTATCCTTTCAGAGTGGCTGAAACTAGGACAGCCATTCATCTGAGACAGTGGCTAGCACAGAGCAGTCATACAACGCCACAGGGCGCACTGATACGAAGCCCACCACCGCCATTTACCAGCTTCTAACACAACTTACTAGGAAAGGAAACAAATAGAGTTTAACTTAATGGCTAAATACATCCAGAAAATGTGAAATGATACACCATTGTCCGTTTTCACCACGTTTAATAGTAAAACACAGTTAAAAGCAATAACAAATGCTATAATAAAAGTTAACTTGTATGTAGATACCATTTTTACTGAGAGCAAATAAAGGTAAGAATAAAAACCAAGAAAGCATCAGCACTGACAGCCCAGTGGTTTTAAGAAGACGTGGTTCTACCCCCTGGGGGGGCACCTGGGAGTGTCTGGGGACATGGAGAGGGGGACTGTTACAGGCGTCTAGCAGGTAGACGCCGGCGCTGCTTTGAAGCCTCTTTCTAAGCACAGGCTAGAGCCCAACAACAAAGAATACACTGTCCAGTCCAAAATGCCAGTAGTGCCAAGGCCAAGAGCCCCGACTTACCCTGATAAATAGGAAGAGGGTTAACAAGAATCATCTATTTGAGAGATCACTGACGCAGAAGGAAAAGGATATGAAGTTTAATTATGGACACATTTCAGTTCAAAGTGCTGAGCAGGTGAAGCAGACCAGCACAGAACGGGAAAATCTAGAAAACTGGGGAAATTAAGCAAGTTACGAAATTCAGGGAGACGATGAGGCCAAAGCTTAGAGGAGGGTTTTCAGCTGAAATACACAGTGGAGACGTACTCACCTAGCCCGGAGCTGAAGGAAAGGAGCCAGTGTTTCTTTTGGAGCCCAGCAAGTGAGAAGGTGGGGGCAGAACCCCAGGCCATGCCTACATCCAGAGGAACCAGTCAAGAGGAGGGGGGGTGGTCAGAGAGGTGTCAGGAAGGAGGGGTGGTTAGCAGTGTCCCAGGCCTGAGAGCAGGGGGTGGGGATTAAGAGGCAGGCCAGAGAGAAACTTGCGCTGGGACGCTTCCAGCAGAAGGGAAGCAAGTGCAGCTCTGAGTGCCTGGCTTTAGAAGAAAAGAACCACAGATTCTTTTGGGAAATGTTCAACAGTGAGGAGAAGACTGCTGAAGGTGTGGGAGCCAGTCAAGTTCCTATTCACCCTCACTTCTCCCTTTCAGCAGGTGTATGTGTACGTGTATCTGTAAATCCATACAGCTCTCAGGGGAGGCAAGACAAAGTTTTAAAAAAAAAAAAAAAAAAAGGGGGGGGGGGCCGGGCGCGGTGGCTCAAGCCTGTAATCCCAGCACTTTGGGAGGCCGAGGTGGGTGGATCACGAGGTCAAGAGATCGAGACCATCCTAGTCAACATGGTGAAACCCCGTCTCTACTAAAAATACAAAAAATTAGCTGGGCGTGGTGGCGCGTGCCTGTAATCCCAGCTAGTCAGGAGGCTGAGGCAGGAAATCACATGAACCTGGGAGGCGGAGGTCGCAATGAGCCGAGATCGTACCACTGTACTCCAGCCTGAGCAACAGAGGGAGACTCCGTCTCAAAAAAAAAAAAAAAAAGTATGGAATTGTCCTTTAGAAAAGGCTGTAACAATTTATACTCCCAGCAGCAGAATCCATTAATGGCAGTTTCTTCAAATAGTTACAGAAACCGAGAAGTGTTATTAAAAAGCAACATAGAGCCAGGAGCGGTGGTTGTGCCCCAGCTGCTCCACTCCGGGTGCCGAGGCAGAAGGATCTCCTGCAGCCAGGAGTTTGAGGCTGTAGTGTGCTACGGTTGTGCTTGTAAATAGCCCCTGCACTCCAGCCTGGGCAACATAATCAGATCATGTCCCTTTGGGGGAAAAAAAAAAAAAGGACAAAACCATTAAACCATTCAATCCTCATACTAGCAAAAATATCTTAATTATTTTAAATTTCATT